ATGTATATACACGCAGGCGCGCGCACACATGCACACACGTATACAATCAAACCTTCTTCTGGAAAGCATTGCTTTATTCCTTTTGTATTTCGTCTGTGACAAAGTCTGGGCAGACTTGGCTATCGCAAATACACGTATATGTGGATACAGATATCCTCTGGTATATTTCTCCGGCTTGCGGCTGAGCTAGCAAGAGCAGAATGATGGATGACTTAATACTTTTGAGTTCGATTTGACCTAATGTAACGGGATCCAGACCAACATCACTTTCCATCCTGTCTTCCACCCTGGCCTACTCCGCCCTTTTAATTTGCTTCCTGGTATGTCCTGCTGCCGTGACAGCAAACGAAGACAGAAGCAATGAGCGCATACGATAGCGGGAGATACAAACCGAGGGAGAGAATTCTCCAAACCTAACTCCAATTGGAGAGTTGTGTGTGTATGTGTGTGCGTATAACACGTGAAGTTTGGAGTGCGGCAGTGACTGTATGGATGTGATGTGGCTGGTTGTGTTGTGTTGTGTTGGCACTGTTTGTGATGAGGTTACTTCCACTTGGGTTTACTTGGACAGCTCACGCTGCGTTGTGAAAGGGAAAGGTGGGGCGTGGAGAAAATTAACTCGGTCGGAGTTTACGTGTGTGTGTGNGGGGGGGGGGGTAAATAGGAGGATGTGTGTGCTACCGTGGCCCATCAGATAAACCCCCTATTTGAAATCGGTCAGCAAATCCGATTGTTCTAGGCAGGTGAACGCAAAATCGGTCGTGAATTTTCTTTTACTGTTGTGGATTGTAAGACAGCTGAGAAGCCGTATGTTTTGAGTCTGGGAATAAGAGATTTAGTGAGACATTGTTGTAATCCCCACACGAGTTTTATCATCAGTGCTGGTTTTATATAAAAGTAGCCGAGAACAAATTTTAAATTTTGGCTAATTGTCCTTAGACGAAGGGGTCCAAAAATTATCTGCCCGAAGTCAGAGCCTCCCTGGACAATGAATGAAACAATGGAGGGAATTCTGGAACTTCTTTCACTGAATCAAACTCTACGAGGTCCCTGGTTCGATCCCCGGTCGGGTCGATGGAGTCACACTGCTGATGAGATTTAAACAGATGGAAACAACCGTTCCTAGCTTTTCATCGCATACTTCATTTTTCCTCACACGATGAAATTTATTATGGAATTGAATCAAATCCTCCACTACTCTCATGAAAATCTTCAGTTCTTTTGAGAAATCATCGGTCTACTGCATTTCCAGCAGCTTCCCAAAGCTGACTACACTTCATTCAACGGGAATTCCCCGCGTAAGAAAGGTACCGGCTCAGAAAATCAGTCAGTACAAATGTTCGAATTCTACCTGAGATTGAATGCTAATAAGTCCTGGATGACGGATACCAGGACAGAGCACACATTATCCGTACGATATAGATAAAAACGGATTAATACAAATTGTAATTTTGGGAAAACACAGCGATGTCGGTGCAGGTGAAATAAGCCGACGTTTCGGTTACCGCGGGTAACCTTTATCAAGGCGATTTTTACAATCGATTGTAGCACACAAACATTCGTATATCAAGATCGAATGTGAACTGGACCTAAATCCATCCGCTCAATGCGACACTTCTAAGTTGTTCACTGGGATGGCCTACATTCAAGTCCCAACCGTAATCGCTCCCGATCGGTCAATAGGCAACCCAATAACGAAACAAATTCAAACTGGGAACGACATGTATGCTCTGTGAACAAGAGTAAACGGACCTAGTTAAAAATCAAATCAATATCGGAGAAATATATGTGTATATGTATATATATATATGCAACTTGTGTGAAGTTTCATGGCAGTTTTTCAATGTCAACCTGAATAGAAATCATTCAAGTTGGTTGGAATGTTTAGCTTGAAATTACAGTCATTTGCCAAATCATACTTGGGATTTCCATACCCGAAAGAATGGTCTTCACAATAGCCCATGACCGAATGGCCCGTGGACAACTTATCACAGTAGTTGGCATAGGGAGCACATGAATCCGGTGCCTCCATTTTTGTGGAATTATCCCACATCAATCCGGACATGGTGGAATCGTCCGGTTCTTTGATCGCTCCAGGCAAATGATCACGCATGCGTTTTTTCTGTTTCATTCGACGATTCTGAAACCAGATTTTTACTTGAGTTTCAGTCAGTCCTAGATCGTTGGCGATTTCAATGCGTCTGGCCCGTGTCAGATATCGGTTGAAGTGAAACTCTTTCTCCAGTTCTGTGAGCTGTTTGTTGGTAAAATTGGTTCGACCGTTCATTGAATTCTGACCGTGAAATAGACCCGTGTTACAATCGGTCGATCCGAGCATATTTGGCGTCTTTTTTGCCTCATCAAATTGATTAGACCAAATCGATCCCTCATTCGTGTCCGTGGTACGATAAATAGCGGGGTAATCTTGTGAGACAGCCAAAATATCCGAATCGGGACGTTTTATCACGGTTGGACCGTGATCCAGGGAATTCAGATCCAAATCTTTCGTGAAATTTGAATCACTTTTGGTCCGAGATAAACTGTCCTGAGTTGCCAAAGCCTTGGACGTCAAACCATAGGTTGATACTGATCCTGTATGATGAAAGAACAGATCGGGGAAACTGATCGATTAATCATAATTATACATAGTTCATTGTTTTTTCCATTAGGTTAATTTAATTCTCAAGGTTATTCTAACAAATGTGAATTGCCGTTCTCACCGGCTTATATCCGAATTGGCCTTCAGGACGATAGAACGTGAAAGAGACCGGCCCTGTGCACAAGCGCTGATGCATTTTCTCCTTACCTGACCAACCGTTCGAAACTGTACTGTACCGTAGTTGAGAGTAGGATTATTTTGCACATTTGTGAGTAAACTAGAACGAAATTATTACAGGTTCAAAACCTATAACGAGATGAACACAAAGCTCTAAACCATTAGTAAAGATGTTCTGCCTGAAAACAGCTCATGACAAGGTAAAAACCACGGGTGAAACTTGTTATTTGGTCCACTGCTATGCAATGCTAACTGATAAAAAATACTGGTTCATTCGATATGTCCATGTAGCGAGCATGCCCGCATCATCATCATCAGAATCACCAGCGTACAGAATGGACTAGAAGCAGGCACCTGTCGCCTTCTGTCAAGGCACCAGTATCATAATCTTTGAAGAGGTTGCTGACGGTATTCCACGTATTGTAGGTATTCCGTCATGCGTGTATTTTAGTAGCTTATTGGTATGCTTATATGTGCGCAATGTGAGATGAAGTGGACCTGCTAAAATGCACCTGTTCACCTGGAATCTTGTCCTCATGAGTGTGCGATTTTTTCAAATCAGAAGAAGAACCAGTTGCACGGGAAAATAGAGGGCTTTTCCCTGCAAAACGATTGGGCAGTTGACCCGTAAGCAAATGTCCTATCACACCTTCTGGTCCCGCAGCTTCTTCCAAAAGATCACTGAAGATGAGTATGCAAAGTTTTAAAAGCGGCTGACAATACAATAGACAGTTATGTTCTGTGCACATTGTGGTACTCACAAACAAATCAATTACTGGCTTGTACCGGAAATCTTTGTTTCCTATCATTTTATGCAAAGCCTGGGAAGATAATATAACTCTCATTGATAGTGCTGGTGTTCAGATGAATGTGGTGCGATACCCCCAACAGGACCGCATAGATAAGTTGTACTATACCGTGTATATTCAAAATGCCAAACAGTCTAATCAGCTGACTGTAGATTGAGTGGATAGCATGCTTGCTTTCTAAGTGTGAGGTCCCGGGTTCGATCCCCAGTTGGGCTGATGGATTCGCACTGCTGATAGGACTAAATCATATCAAAAAGCTTCACGGTGTTTCCTGCTTTTTCAATTTGCACTTTATTTGTTGTGCGCATGACGAAATGAGATGAAAATTAAAGTGGTGAAATTTCGGATTCAAACGGAGAGAGTCATTGGATTTGATATTGTTTAATGAATAGAAGTTTCGGCGAAAAGACACACGATGAGACAGAACGATTTAAGTTGGGTAAGAATCCAATTTAATAAATGCGTGAACGATTATTACTGTCATTTTTTCTGACTAGATTGTTATGCGCAGGAAACTGAGCAAGAAATAACAAGCAGAAAGTAAGCGCAGACTAGAGTTTCCATACAAGTGGCCACGAATTTTCGGTTCTCCATCAATTTGGCTAAGAAGGTTATGCGGAAAGACCCAAACTTTCTAGATATTGGGGTGAGTGGATCGGCAAAAGCATTAGTGGACATCTGAAACGTTTTGTTGAATCCACAGTGAAATAAATCTTTTTAAAGAGCAAACTACATTAGATTCATAAGGCAACCGTACGGTTAGCATAGAAAGCGCTTGAAATTAAAATTTAAAGGAACAGTTAACATTGTACTATGTGCCAATAATTTGCTCAAAATTGTCAAACATCTTCAGTGATTCCAATGAAAAAACCGACAAACTTCCTACCTCGAGAAATTACACTCTTACATGTAAAAAATCTACGTCTTGCAATCGGAAGCTGTAAATTCATCCGACAACGATTCCGTGTGACATGATCGAAAACGGAACTAATAATGTGGCTTGTTAAGAAGTTCTGCATTGAAGATTCCATCCCAATCTCATACATTCATAAAATGTGATCGGTTGAAGTGGAAACAATGACAAGAGCTAGAGGATTCGTGTTTTTTTTCACTCATACTCAAATACCCATACATTTGGTAGGCA